AAACGCTGCAGCGCCACCGCGGTTGTTTCCACTGGAGTCACATTCGGACCCGCAGGCTCACAAAGCACGGATATAGGTGGTCGTACCCACACGTACCCCGTCGCCATTTTCCCCCCCAGCTGAAATACAAAAGGCTTGGCTGGGGGAGCACACACCCCTTTCACAATATTCTGCCAATAAGCCTACAGAAAGACAACCCACACTGTTTGTCACTCATATTAAATGCACACATTTTGAGTGTACTTTTAAAAATACGGTACCGCGCGTGAAAAAATGTTGCATTTTAATGGAGGACACGGTCGACTTCCGAGCGGGGTGGAAGTCGAGATTTAATGACAATTTTTGCCTTGTTACAGCAGATGGCTGCACAGAAAGACAAACGACTCGCCGCGTTTGTTGATTGACGTGCGACGTACCCACACAGGTAGGAGCTTAAATTTGAAATCGCTTTGCTGACGACTGGGTTGTCCAATCATCGGGAAGCGGGGGCGGGATATAACCCCGTCAATCATGCAGAAACTATAATGGTTTGAATAAGGAGGGAGGGGGAGAATCCAATCCGGTTTGAGCTAGTTCTTCTGCCAATGGAACATTACCGTCGCGCTACGCTGTATTAGACTGTACTGGTACAGCTTTATCCAGAATATACCACTGTATCTTTCTCCTGTATTGAGCAACATTTAGCTCTTTTTTCTTAAAAAAAAAAAAAACTCACCCCACACAAACCAGCCATGCCTAAAAGGAGCAAAGTGAGTAGACCGACATCTTTCATGCATTCAGTAATACGGCGTTTATAACCCCCAAATGCAATGTGTAAGTTACAGCCAGCGGTCCGAGTTGTTACAAAATACGTTTTTTTTGTTCCAGATGAGTGTGTACAATGTCGCCGCTTGCATTCAGGAGTTTAGTTGATGTGCTTGTCTGTTTTGATGTCGTAAAGTGGCTGGTTCTCGGTGCTACATCTTGAGCAGTGATTATCTTTGTGCCGAGTGGTTTCCCCCCGTGTCGGATTTTATATTTATACTGCAAGATGGTGAAATCCAGTTACAATTGCGTGTAAATTACGTTAACTTGCAGCGTAGGACCAGGCAGGGACGTTTTCTCAGTCGACGGGCTGCTTTTTCTGCATAGAAAGTTGGCGGCATATTGATTGTTTCCTATGGGGGTCGTCGCGCTGGCCACTAAAGTTTCTAAAACGCATACTGAAATTTAAAGGATGTTATTCGGTGGGTTTAAGGCTTTTACGCTAAGCCAGTGGTTATCGCGTGGGAAACGAGTCCTTTAAAGGCTGTCTCGTGGATCAAACTCGTTTTTTTAAACGATAATATGCGAATGGCGCTTCCCTAAAACCTAACATGCATGTGTTGTTTTTGTTAATGAATGGCCGCCCTTTTATCAACGTTGAAAAAAATGAATTTCTTGGGAGGCGGTCGTCGTGTCCGCCGAGTGTCTTTATGTGTAGTCGGCTCAGGCCAGTCGAAGGGTTATGCAATGGCGAGCCTCCGTCAGCAAAGCGCCTGCTCCTGTTGCTGGGGGTTCTAGTAGAATCTGCTACCAGATCGACGGAGTCGCCGCTGAGCGTCTCGTAGTGACTCTTTTCAAATTCGTGGCGGGAGCCGCTCGCTGCACGGCTCGGTTTCGCTCCGTAAACTGGCAATCCCGTTTTATTACCAATGAATGGATGCGCTCGCGGGGAGGCGGAGTTCCACAGCGCAGACAAATCACAGGAGGCGCGAGAGCGCGACCTCAGGCCGCGGCCTAAACTACACTTTGCTGTGTGTAGAATGCAGACTTCCATTGCTGTTGCTGTGTAGACAAATGTACTTCCGCATTGATTCGTTCTGCTGAGTGCCGAGTATAATGTGTAATGGGCGTGATTGAGAAGTGAGTCTTGCTCTTCCGTGGTTACCAGTCCTATTGTTCCGAGATTTAGAACATATCTCAGCCAATCACAGCGGCCGGTCTGAGCTCAATCATGTATGAAGCTCGCCGTACACCCATAGGCCAATGTTCTGTCGGGAAACGCCCACTTTTGAGTTACATAACTAATACTTAAATCCCATGACCTTCTACCCCCCATCAACTCACCATAGGCACATTAAAATGCAGAAAAATGCTGTAACTGGATTTCTTTGATTGTTTTGTCTCTAACAGGCAGGGGGAGAAACAGTGGTAAGTAATAATTAAAGATACTTGATATAACATCTGATCTTTTTTCTATTATAAATAAAAACGTTAGTCTGTGCACCCACCAGAGGTCAGTAAGACCCCATCTGTGAGTGCAATTGACGGATGTGTTGAAAATAATCACCTGTGTGTTTACCCTGTGCAGGCCAAGAGGAGATCTCTCAGGTTGAGTGAAGTAAGTACATTAAGCCCATACCCTCAATACGCATAGCGCTAACTGCATTCTTAATGCTGACAAATCTTCTTTTGTCCCCACAGAAACCTGCACCTTCAAAGGCAGAGGCCAAACCTAAGCCCAAGGTGGGAGTTTGTTTTCATTACCTCTGGTTTTAGTCCTTTTTTAGACTGTTGCCCGTGTGACTAATAGGTTGAATATTTATGCGTTGCAGAAGGCACCTGCTAAGCCTAAAAAAGCCAAGGAGGTGGAGAAGGCAAAGCCCGAGGAGAAAGCACCAGAGGCCCCCGCTGAGAATGGTGAAGCCAAAGCCGAGGAAGAGGTAATGCATGTGGCATCCTATGTAAACATGCAAAATCCAACTAATCTATGCGGTTATTAAACTCAATAAAACATTTATTCTCCAGGCACCGGCCACAGAAGAAGCGGACGAAAAAGATGATGCGGCAGAATAACATCTCTCAAACCACGTCTTTGCCAGTGCTCCCTGTACCTCTTTTCTTGTACAATTCAGGGGAATATTTTTATCAACTATTTTCTAAATACAGGTTTTTTAGTAGTTTGATTGTAGAGAACACTTTTTTTTAATGAAAGAAAAAAAAGTCAATTTGGAGACGGGAATTTCGTCACATCCCACAATTTTGCATCGCCACAAAAAATCGCGGTTGTTGTTTCTGTCAGTGGATTTCGTTTCATTTTTAAATGTGAAGAGGGCGGGGAGGGGTTGCAGGACAGGTTACTGTGTCGGCGCTTAAGCACAGCGTTCACAGCAGCTGGGGCAACAACCAGAGGAGCTTGTCCACGTGGATTACATTCCATATGCTTTATAAGGGACAATGTGTGTAATCTGTGCGGGGTGGGAATAGACAAAGTCACAGGGCAACTCATTGTTTTATTGTTCATAATGAAGAACTGTGTTTTAGAATGTTTGTAAGCTTTGTTCCTATATGTTATCTCTTGTACTCATGCAGATTTTCAATGAATCTGATCAATAAAGCTAAAAATCCCTAGTACTCGAGCTCTCCTTATCAAAACTGCATCGCGTGTGTTGGTTGTGTCTCTGTTTCTGTGATAGCATCGCAATAAATTTGTATAGCTGCTGTGAAAAAAAAGGTTTTCAATCTTTCTATATGCATTGTGTAATGGTACATAGTAAGGATGGTAAAAATGGAATTTGTTTTCTTAGCCAGGATAATGAGGTGTGTAACCATCAAAAACAAACTTGAGATTGGCGTCTTTAAGGCCAACCGACAAACTGTACATTTATTTGAGATGTCAAATGCATACCAGCAGTAGCAATATTAATGTGGGTTTTAGATATCTGTATCAAGTACACGTGTGCCGTTCATTTTTATTTGTTTATAGATGTACCTGTGTAATGATTGTTATCAACAAACCAATAAAACTCTGTTGGTAGTTGTTTCATTCTGAGGCGTCGGTTTATGAGCGAGGTTGCTGAAAGATTGCTGTAACTGTTTCTAAAAGTTAATGAAAGGGAGAATACAATAAATATTGATATTTATAACATAGAAATGTGCTTGCCGCTTCCGCATTGATAGTGATTTGTTAAATCACCAAGCAAGCACCTACACTATAACAAATGTTTTCTACATGTAAAATAAAACTTGATTCATTATCTGCTGTTGGATCAAGGTAGACCAGCTAATTTACAGTACTAGTCAAAAGTTTGGACACACTGTCTCATTGAATTCAGTGCTAAAAATGTGTCCAGACGTTTGACTGGTACTGATTCTTCAAGGTGAAGAGGACAAATTCAAGTTCTGTGAACGGAGTGGCACTTTGGCAGCATCATAATAGAAGGAGCAGGTGCATTGTTTAATTCCCTGTTTATGAACCTTTAACCTTTATGAACGGCCACAATTACGCTGCTTTTAGAAACCATCCCAATAAAATCAGACGAGGAAGAGTTTCAGCACCACGGACAGATCCCCGCGGGCCGCTGCTTTACCAGCTCGCGTTTTCTCCTCTTGCTTTTTGACTCATTTCAAGATGCTTACTCGTCACCGTGACCTAATTATGTTTACCCTCCGTGTTAGTAAACAGACTAACAACGTGCGCCTCTACGTAGCCGTGATACAGTAGCAGTAGTTCCGGGTTTGCTGTGATTGGTTGGCGGACATTGTTACGATGGAGAAGACTACAAACACGTGTCTGCCTCATCCAGTGACTGCTCTGCGCGCAGTTGGTATTTTTAAATTACATTAAATTACAGGTCATTTAGCAGACGCTTTTATCCAAAGCGACTTACATCACACCCATGGCTTTTTCACATTTTGCCCAGGGAGCAATTAGGGGTTAGGTGTCTTGCTCAGGGACACTTCGACATGGATCATGGGGCAGCCTGGAATCGAACCACCAAACTTTTGCTTCCCAGCACACCTTCTCTAACCCCTGCGCCACGACGACCCCAATTTCATTATAGGGTGTTAAACTTCCGTCTGAAGCCCCACCACACATTTAAAGGGAATTGATTCTTTTTTTTACTCCTATTCCTTAAATTGCAAAGTCTGTGCGCCAAGACTCAGAGGACTTTATCACATGCTTTTCAATAATACACAATTAGCTTGTCACCTTGTTTCCTCTTGTTTGAGGAGTAACCCCAAAAAGACAAACCCACCCTCGTCATGGCTTTGTTTTTATTGGTAAAATAGTCAGTGGCAGTCTATCACAAAATAGCTCGTCCTACATAAGCCATTGAAAACTATGGAGTGAATGATTTCTTTCATTTTTTTTGATCTTATACAGATTTGTAATGATGATCGCCGGGAGTGCTGGTGTTGTCCAATGTCTTGTCTCTACTCATGTGAAGCAACAAAAAGACATACGTTAGCTAGTTCAGGGGCATAATCTGTTGAGCTGAGAGAACAGTCATGTATCTTAACAAAAGAGCAGAGAACAGGATGAATAAAGGCAAAAGTGTTCCTGTGTGCTTCACAACTATTTTTTTTTCCAGAATTGGCTAAAGCAAGAGACATAGCTCACAGTTAATTGTCAGGCGATAAGTTTAACTACCAGTAGTGAAATCAAATAAACTCAACTTCACATTAAGTCAGATTCCTTCCTGAAATTACTATGTTAACAGTATACAGTTGTAACCTTTTGTGATGAAACAGCTGTAATTTGATGTTTGTCCTTCTAAGAAGACACTTCTGATCACGCAAGATGATCACGCGAGATGACAAGGTTCAAGAATAATATTGTGGATCACGTCCCACACAACAGTGTATAAACATATCATGCTCTCCTATTACTTCATTGAAATAATGAGCCTTTCACAATCATGATGACGACACATGCTACGACTTGAATGCACATCATTATAAATTATAAAGGCCCAGTAGGAAACATTCAATAGATTACATCCAACTGACCTCCACACACTTTTGAGTACGCGTTCTTTTTAGTTCACAGCCGTCTTAAATTGCTCCACTGGAAAACTACCTTTGTGTGCTGGTATCTAGGATTTTTTGGTAGAATCGCTGTAATAAAGTAACATAAATTATGTTTAAAAATTAGTATACAGCCATCTGAAAATAAAAAATCCTTCTTTAGCTCAGAATGAGCCCTTCAAATGTTGCTGTGTTACTAAAGTAGCCTAGAAGGAACAAACCAAACACTTGTTCTTGTGTTGTTTTCGTTACCTGAAGGCCACTGTAGTTCTCTACATGCTCAGAAAGGCGGGGGTCAAAGGGGAAGTGTTCAGTTGGTTGAAATCTACAAACTCACCACTCAATGCCACTAAATCCTAGACTGCTCCTTTAAAATGTTAGGTAGTGATGAACAGTCTACCACCCTCGTGTTGATGAAACACCGATCCGACTTTTATTTTTATTTTCATACTGTTACCTAGGCTTTAGAGACAGCTGGTACCAAGTACCAATCCGATTATAATGTTTACTTGATAAGTTTATATGACTCACTGTGTGGAAGAGACTGGGATCATTCTTTTGTGTGCAAGGCAACACTAGGTTTGACTTAAATATTGCTTTGTAAGACACAATGTTACCAATAAATACTGAAATATAAATCTCAATAATTGTTATTGTATATAATTCATTTTAAATAATAGTACCACTACCAGATTGTCCTAGTCACAGATATCCAGTTGTTATCAGACCTATATCTCTAGGTGGGTTTCTAGGTGATGTGTGGGTTTTCGGGACAGAGGATGTTGCATGTGTACAGACTGTAAAGCCCTCTGAGGCAAATTTGTCATTTGCGATTTGGGGCGATACAAAATAAAATGAATTGAATTGAATAGGTCTAATGTGATGAAATGTTTGTATTTGATGAATTATCAACTATTGTGAGTCTAAAGGCATTTCTCTGAGAATCCTCTGTGTTTGGTCTAATTGGCGTATTAATGTGCAGTATTCTTTAGGGCTAACCGGCACAGTGTGAGAACGCCGTGCATCTAGTCACATGACAAGATGTCAGCAGTTGGCTCATTTCAGGATGATGCACTAGTCCGTTTTCTCTGAAAGCCGTCCCATCTTGGTGCGCATGTTGCGCAAAAGGAAGAAGCCGATGGTGGCAACCGCCATGATGACCTCAGCAACCCAGAAGGCCGTGTCCCAGCTGTGTTGCTTGGCAATGGTGCTGAAGGGAAGGCCCGCCATAAAAGCTCCAACTGAAACGAGTGGAGAAGTTGTTTGGTCAGGCCAACGTGTTACGCTGGTATTCCAGAGCAAGTCGTACAGGTGATTCTGCATGTCGTGTGAATTTACCATTAGCCATCAGAGCTACAACAGCATGAGAGGTTCCACAAAAATTTGAAGGAGCACTTTCACTGGCTATCACCCCAAACAAGGAAATTGGTCCGTAGGAAGAAAATCCAAACATGGCACCAAGGAACAGGATCCAGATCTGCATGCGACGTTGTGAAAAAAGTAGTAGTTGGGTTAACGGACCAGCCGACAGGCGGGGCGCCCCCCCCAATATAATGTTGGGGAAACACTGCGGGAAATCCACCAAAATTTCTTTGAGCCTACCTCTTTTTCTGATACGCCAACGAGGACAGAGACAGGATGAAGGACTTGGACCCAAAGAGGAGCCTCCTATGCCAAGACAATGAGCGACTGTGATGTCTGCTTCAAGCATTTTAGAATGTAAATAAAATAACATAAATTGTAATTACCTGTGGCATATCAAGTGTGATTGTGACTCTGAAGAGGTACATGGACACGCACATACCGGCCATCATGAGCAGGAGCAGCCTGTGTCGAGGGTTGCCGTGGGTTCCCAACCCTTGCTGGAGGAAGTCAAAAGGAGGAAGGTACTGAACTCAGCCTAATAATCCCAGTCATGTTCTGCGGGATACATCCAAGCGCCGTTACTCACCCGAGCTACAGCTCGATCCGAGAGGAACCCTGCCGCGAGGCTCCCCACGAAACCCCCCACCTCCAAGGCACTCATGTAGGTGCTCCCTGCAGGAGACAAAGCACTTGATGTCAGCACGAATAACCAGCCGGACGGAGCAAAAAACTAGTGAGAGGCGATGGACAATTCAAGAAAATGCATACCCATGAGAACAGTTTGGCCCTTCTCCTGCATGAGGAACAGCTGTCCCCAGTCAGTGGCAGCTGTCTTCACCCCAAACACCACCAAGTAGCCCAGAGACAGCACCCACAGGAAAGGGGAGAGGAGGAACTCCCTCAGGGTGCTCTCCCCGTTGCCTGGGCAGGGGAGAAACGTTCACACGGTCATTTAAAATATAGATCAGATGGTGGAGGTACATTCAGCATGGTATGTGGTCAGGGTACTTGTATGTGAGGGTTAGAAAACTATTTGCATTTACAACATAAGTGCAGTTTCATATGTTAAATGCAGTTAAACATCTGATTTTATCTGTCATAAAGGCATAGTGTCAAGACCTGTCCCATGTGCCATTTGTAAGTTATCAGTTCATTTGAATATAAATAATTTGCAGCATGCTAATCAGAGTGGCCAAGTGTAAGTAAGTATTATAAAAAGTCCACAATGACACTGAACATGGAGGAAAGGTTGGGTAAGGATTAGGTGACTTGATTCAACTATGAAAACAAAATCCAAACACAAAATGAGTGGTTGTTGCTGCTTGGTCTGTATGAAAGGACATTTTATCAATGACCTGCTCTGCCTTATCTGCATAGTGATCTTGGTTTATGGGTTACAGCTGTGACTGTGTATGAGGTTGTAATCCAGCACACTCGGGTGGTTAAGAAGCGATCGTGGTTGTCATTTGAGAAACACACACCAAGTCTAGTCTATTCCCGCGTGACTAAAGTTGCAGATACATTTACATTTATGTTGAGCCCTAACTATAGCTACCTTGACCCTGTGGTGATTATGGTGCCCAAAGTCCCTTTAGAAAAAGAAAACATCTATGTCAATTCAATATCAGTTTTACTTGTACTACAGCCGGACATGTAAAAAGAAAATACAGATTTTTTTGTGTGCCATATTTCTATATTTCTTAACCAGTAACATGATAATACGATGTATAAACAATAGAATACTCACAGGGGTTCCCCTTTATCCTGAGAGGAAAACATGTCCAGATGGACAAAGAGGTTCCAGAGTAATTACACCTTTTATCATATGCCATTTTCAAAGGCCAAAAAAAGGCTAGAGGCTAACAGGTACAAGCTAAGCGTATTAATATAGCAGCAAAACCCTATTTGTTTATATAGAGGGGAGTAATGTCTACCTCAGTAGAGAATGGAGTCAGTCTCATTCTGTTAAAGTCTTAATCTGAGTTTTCCTTGCTTTGTTGACATAGTTGGGGCGTTCCACGTTTGCCCTACAGATTAGCTCTGCGCCGCCACTTTTAGCACTATTAGCCCTGTTAGCACCGTGTCACAGAAAACTCTTTCATTTTCAGTCAAACAACCCTCTTCAAGATTACTTTATTTTGTAATAATTTATATTAATAATAATATTTTGTATCTGTACATGGAAGGTCCTAAACAAATAAGTGTACCTTTTGTAAACTTCCAAACGTAATGCCAATGTTTTAACGGGCCTCTAGACAGTTACCAGATGTTTGTCATACAGGCATTTGCAAGCATGTGTGGGTATTGGGAGCATTCGGCAGAGAAAGCGGTAGAGAAACCTCTGTAGCCGCTGTGAAAACCTGCTGGCTCTTCTCTCCTCCCTCTGCTTACCCCCCTTTGCCCCCTTCTTGGCTGCTCCCTCGATGCTGGGAAGGCCCACGTCCTTCGGCTCGTTCTTCACAAACACCACACAAACAAATGAGAAGGAGGCGCAGAAGATCCCCGACGCTGTCAGGATAGTCCTCCAGTGGTAGTACTGCAGGAGTACGGTGACCAGGATCGGACCCAGACTCCCGGCCAGGTTCATGCTGCAGGACAGCACGGACCACCATGTTCCAAACTGGGAGGGTTCAAACCACTAAGGGACACAAGGACAAAGTAAAGCAGAGGATGGTAAACTTTCTACAGCGCAGGCAGAGAATGCAGACTGCGTGTTTACAACAATCATGTACTGAATATATTGTCGGCTGCCTTTCCTAGATCCATTTCCATGAGGCAACCCACAGTTTGTGTTCACAAACATGCTGATTCAAATCATTATTATCTCGGCTATGAGAGTCATGAGATCACCCGCGTGTGTGAGAAAGAGGGCGAGTGCACCTCTGCGTCTGTTCATAGCAAACTGCATCATATCGGGCCTATCCTGATACAGCTGCAGGTCAAAAGAACTCTTGTGGTTTCGTGGGAATTCCGCTTTCCCCAAAGATCATTATCTTTCACAAAGTACTGTTAACTAGCCCACCGCTGGTCGGGGGCGGAAGTGATAACGTTTTTCCATCCCCAACCGTAATGGCCAAATATAATGATGCCACAATGTTTTATTAGATTAAATGTCTGGAGCTGATCATGAGGCTAATAGTGTGAAAAGTGTTCCACTGCACCAGGTGTGTGGTAACTGTCTGAGCAGAAGAGACTCCGAACACCTCTACCCTTTGATCTGATCTCTCTATGCATGACACGGCTGCGTGGAGAAAGGATGAGGTGTGGATGTCTCCGGTAGTAGACCTCAAGACAAAAGACCACGGCAGAGGTGTCCATGTAGGCTCCTAAATCTAATCAGACGTGTATTGTAACTACATTCCGAGGCTCACTCAAGTCTGGGACCTCGGTGCCGCTGTAACGCTCTTAAACGCTGTTGCAGTTTGCTGCTGTCTGTGCATGGTAGTTGTTGCAGACTTCTTTTACCCCGCAAGGAATAAACAAAACAGGTTTGCTGGTTGTATGAGAAAATCTTCCATCACACTACTCTGCAGCCGGAGATCATGCAATGGAGGAAACATCCAGCCAATTGTCGGTTGGTATAATTCAATAAAACTTTACATCAGTGGTCAGACCAGACACACCAGGCAGATATCACGTTTCTAGTTTAATTGTCTGCAAGAGAGGCCAAAATAGAACCAAAACCTAATGAACATTTTCCTTTTTTCAGATTATCTTTGTATTTGACTGCTGCTGGAGAAATGGCATCCGAACCACACACCCTCATGATGTAACAGAGCTGAATACCGCCATTAGGATTCCTCACTCAGCATACCCAAACGAGTAACCAGTAACTTGAGAATCACTTAAGCCCCAAAGCTGAATCAACACAAAGCTGATCCACGGCATGAGGATGATAACTCGCCTGCGTGAAGCAGCAGCTCTAGAAACCGGGGCAAACTGGTGAAGACTCAAGCCTTTCATAAGATCGGCAACTCTCTCGAGACGAGGGAAACACCTTTAGTCAAAGTTGTTTTTCCTCTAGAAAGGTCTGCTGAGGATCTTCTATAAATACTTCTTCCAGTAATCTGATCCCCTTCAGCACGCCAAAGCCTATTTATTCCTTCACCTTTTGAGCTCTTTGACTGTCAAGGAGCCCCCAGTGGACTCTGAGTGTGTGGTTTCTCGAGTCCTGCCTGTCCTACCGGCCGTTCAGCTTTATAATCCAAAAAGTTGGTCAGGAATGAGGCCTTTGCTGTTTGTTAGGTAACCCTTTGATTTCCAAACTATCCACTATCTCCACCTCCCGCTAGAATGGACGGAGAACCACACACAACATGTCTGGCAGGTTTATCCCCTTTCACACGGCTGCCCTGAATACCGGTGCAGTATTACCTTGCGCAGTACTTTGCCACACGGGGGCCAGCCGCAGCCTTGACCCAGCCCGTTGATGAACCAGAGCAGGGAGAACATGGGGACGGTGGAGGACCAGGAGAACACCACATTAATGCCGCCCACCAGGAAGAGGCCGATGGAGAAGAGCCAGCGGGCGCTGATCTGGTCCGATAGCACGCCGCTGATGAACTTACTGATGGCGTAGGCCATGGTTTGGCTGCTGGTGATCAGACCTGCAGAGACGCAATCAAGGCTACAGTTACAAAAGCAACGTAGGAAGAGAGAGGCGGAAGTTTTGTACCAATGAAGGCAACCAAACATGAATGAGACATCAGCCAATTGACTGCCGGTGACATTAAATGAGTAGGACTTAAAACAAGCGAACATAGCAATGCATTGTCTTAGACATTCACATATGTGTACAGGCAGGTGGCGGTTCTGCTAATGCCTTTGCACTGCGCTTAGATAGCAAGACTTAGGCATCTATTTTCAGGGGTTTTAGTCTACAGCATAACTGCGAAACCATTTATTGCCTGAGCAAATATATTAAGTTCACCAAACAATTAAAACACACATCCGACTGTCTCACCCAAGTCATCTTTGTCCAATTCGATCTCCTCCATCACAGAGGGCATGACGAAGGAGAAGGTCTTCCTGTTGAAGAAGTACAGCGAGTAGCCAATGAACATGCAGGAGAAGATGGCGGTGCGATAATAGCCATAGCCTGTGGCCCCCATGGTGGCGGTTGGTTCCAAAAACAGAGAAACACAACTTTATGGTGGTTCAGTAGGGTCTTGTATTTGGGTCCAATCCAACTTGGGACAGTTCTTCTTAAAAAAGTAGATGCTATTGACTCCTTGTTTGCACTGGATAGGTGGAGAAAAGACCGAGCATCGGCTGGCCTGCGATGATTAAATCTTCACCATGAGGACGAACACATGAGAACTCTATCCTTGCAGACTGGAAGCTCGGGCTGTCCGAGGACGGAGGGAGGGAAACCTTACACCAACCTGGAAGGGATAACACCATAATAAATAATAAATATAAATAACAGAAATAATTTTGACTGGTCCGTCAGAAAAGGCAGATATTCAGCACTTGGACACTTGGATGAGCAGATGAAAGAACATCTCATGATAATACATGATAATTACACAACTTCCAAATGAGAAGCTGATGCTTGGAAGAATGAGTAGACACAAGTCTTCATGACTGCACATATCAGTGGTTGTGATGCTGTTATGTCAGTTGATTCCCAGCAGCCCCCATGTTATTTACCGCCACATCGCCCGCCACATGTTGAGGATAAAGTGGCATTATCGACCTGCGGCCTCTATGTGTTACTTGTCATATAAACACAAAGTTCATGTTTAACTGGCCTCGGCATACTGCTGTCAACTCAGCAGACACTCGGATTCACGTGGTCACCTCAGCAGACGCTTGAATGTTAGTGCACGTATATGATGGCATTTACGGTATTATACACGTAACCGGAATAAAGGCTATTTAAATAGCAAATTCCGGACAATGATAGAAGTATGTGTGTACAGGACCTCTCTGACTACTCTTGTACAATAAATAAAATATTTTTACTGTACAGATTTGGAGATTTCTTCAAAGTAAAAGCCCCATGTTTGCGAGTTCAAAAACAACATTTCTCCATATTTGAAAAAACAAAACAAATTTCTCAATAGTTCCAGACCAATGCACGTGTGTTAAGGACCTCTCTGATTACTAGCAGGATGAAAATGAAGAATTTTTACTGTACAGATTTGGTCTTTGTGTGGAATTATTGGGAAGAATGTTTCAGCTCTTTTTGAACATTTACTGATGGGACTTTTACTTAGAAAAAATCTCTAAATTCATACAGTATGTTTCAGATTCAGCATCCTTGTAGTCAGAGAGGATCCTAACACGAGTACATTGGTCTTTGCCTGGAACTATTGAGAAATTTATTGCGTTGCAAATATGTAGATATGGTCTTTTTGAACTTGCAATTATAGGGCTTTTACTTTGAAGAAAACATTTCCCTTTTCTTACAATAGTAGTCAGAGATGTCCTTGGCACATGTTAGTCTTTGACTGGAATTATTGAGAAAAGTATTTTTATTGCAGTTCAAACTTTGAGAAATTGTCCTTTTGGACTTTGAAATACAGGATAATTATCCAACTTTGTACAGTACGTATTCCTTTTTTTGTACAACAGAAGTCAGAATGGTGCTGAACACACATACTTCAGTCATCGTCCAGAATCTTTAATTAAATCATTTTTATTTCGGTTACTTGTTACCGTAACGATCAACATACACGTGCACTAAAGGTCAAGCGTCTGCCGAGTTGACCACGGGAATCCGAGCGTCTGCTGAGTTGACCGCAGTCTCACCATCGGCGTAGCAAACACGCGAAGATCTCAGCTGTCTAACAGGGATCTCACGTGGCTGACGTAGTAGGCAGCATCTTATTTTAGATATAAAACGTCGTCCGACCAACTCATCGAACGGGGCCGCGCTCTGAGCAGCCACCGGTGCACCGTCAGTAAACTCGTGGACGAGTACAGCGTGGTACTGCGTTACGTCACACTAAATCTCTTTCAGAGACTAAACGACACCCCATGCTGACGTGAAGCAAGACGTACCGCAGCTGTGCGCCGCCTGACACGCCGCTATCCACGTCGTCGCTATCGAGATGTCGGGAGAAATCACATTACCTTTAACTCGCGTCCCTCTCGCCGATCCCATCCAGGCAAAACAAGAGAGGCAAAAAGGAAGACGCGCGTTCATGAATTTGCAGCTTGTGTGCGCGTCCCCGTGACACGCGCGCAGCAGCCGCCGCGGCTTTGGACCCTGAAACTCGCTGCTGCGGTAGTTTGAGATGTTGCATCGTGCTCCCGCTGCTGGTCCCAGTGGCGCCACTTCACATGCTGAGAAACTCCGTTTAAAACATGCGACTTTACGCGTGTAGTTCGCCACGCTGCTGCCTGCGTGGATTCAGGAGCTGGATCAGCCCCGTCTGCGGATTAAACATAGTGACATATCTATTACAAATCTGTCAATATTATGTTGATGTTTTATAAAAGATCATCATTCAGCGCATACTGCTCACTACTGCCATCCTCCGGCGGTTTTCATAGAGAAAACAAAGATTCGTGATTATTACATTACATTACATTACACTACATTACATGCCATTTAGCGGACGCTTTTATCCAAAGCGACGTACAATAAGTGCATTCAACCATAGGGTACAAACTCAGGAGAACAAGAAACAAGAAAGTGCAATTTCCTCAAATAAGCCAATTTACAATTTGCTATAGATGAGTGACGTTATAAGTACAATTTAAGTGCTACAATTTGTTAGTCTTTAGTCGAGGTAGAGTCTGAAGAGGTGTGTCCTAGTTTGCGGCGGAAGATGTGAAGGCTCTCTGCGGTCCTGGTGTCTTCAGAGAGCTCGTTCCACCATTTCGGCGCAAGGACAGCGAAGAGTCGAGACCTAGTCGAGTGTTTTGCTCTCAGTGAGGGAGGGACGAGTAGTTTTGCAGATGCAGAGCGGAGAGTGCGGGTTGGGATGTAGGGTTTGACCATGTCCTGGATGTAAGCTGGACCCGATCCATTCACAGCATGGTACGTGCACCAGTGTTTTGAACTGGATGCGGGCGGCCACCGGTAGCCAGTGAAGAGAGGGGAGGAGTGGAGTAGTGTGGGAGAATTTCGGAAGGTTGAAGACCAGTCGAGCTGCTGCATTCTGAATGAGCTGCAGAGGTCGAATGGCGGTGGCAGGGAGACCTGCCAGGAGGGAGTTGCAGTAGTCCAGGCGGGAGATGACAAGAGCCTGAATCACTACCTGCGCTGCCTTCTGAGTGAGATTATTCACGGGTTATAGCCGAACTTCACGGTCTTTTAAAATTCAATCCCCTTTGAAAGCTGGCACGGGAGACAACAATTTCCCTTTTACCTCCCGTGGGTTTGTAAGCCTTCAATAACGTATAGCACATTTTAACAATTGGTATGTGTACAGACTGTAAAGCCCTCTGAGGCAAATTTTGAATTTGCGATTTGGGGCTATACAAAATAAAATGAATTGAACAACAAGGCAATTCGAAGTGCTTCACATAAAACCATAAAATCATCATAATTTGATTTAAAACCAATTAAGAAAACGCCTTACATTAATACAATGAGCTTGAAAATAGCTTCCCTGGACTGTTTTAGGTTCCCGGAACCAAGGTTCTACACTAACCTCTCTTTAGTTCCCTGAACTGAGGACACACTCATATGGCACTAAAAGCCATCTCTTCAGGGCAGCAGGCCAGTATGCAGTAGCTGTTTATGTTAGAACGCTTTTTATCATGACGCCTGGCTCAGGTGAGGGCTCAACATGGCACAATAACAGAGGCAGCAGGGAACAATAGAATGGACTGGTTCTCTTCACTGACACATGTAGAGCCACTCCCTAATGGTTACATAAAATGCTTAATATGCATTTTGTCAAAATTTGGCCATCCAATAACCATATGAATAACATTCCTGCTATCTCAAATTTAAAAAAAAAAAATATATATAGCCAAACACCTTGTCTCTCCCTCACTGAGAGCTCAACTCACAACTCTTTGCTGTCCTGCCTCAGAAATGGTGGAACGAGCTCTCTGATGACACCAGGACCGCAGAGAGCCTTCACATCTTCCGCCGCAAACTACAGACACACCTCTTCAGACTTTACCTTGACTAAAAGACTACAAGACAACATATTGTAGCACTTAAATTGCACTTACCTGTAACAAGTTGTACATTGGCTTACTTGATGAAATTGCACTGTCTTGTTTCTTGTTCTTCTGAGTTTGTATACTTGTGGTTGAATGCACTTATTGTAAGTTGCTTTGGTATAACAGCGTTAGCTAAATGACATGTAATGTAATGTGCCCCAAAACCCACTAAACATTTTCCAGAGCAGAGGTCAAATCAGCCACAATAACTGAAACCCCTGGGACCAATACAATACCAATGTAGAGTGTAAGATTTTGATCTTGTTTTTCTATAAACTCTTTGGCTAGTATGGTGTAAATGAATGCCTCATTTATTCTCCATCCAGCAGATGGAGCTACATGGATGTGTTATTCGTGGTGGTGATGTATTCGACTAAGACAGAAAGAGTACTTATTTGCAAATGTAATAATATGTTTTTTTCTGTTGTCATCCAGAGTGAAAGTTGTGCTTCTTTCTCGCTGTTTCTAAGCGTCTGTAAGTCAGAATCCAGCTGCAGGTGAACCAGTTAGAAGGGGAAGGTACACCGCGCTCAATCATTTCATACTCACACTTAAGAGATATTCAATCTGAGCAGGGCTGGTTTTCTATTTCTGTTTTTACAGTTTTTCATGTTGACGGTTTGTCAAATGTTAGTTTCAGTGTTATTCCCTGTGAATGTGATCTAGCTGACCAAATATCTTGTTTTTCTTTTCACCCAAGGAGACAACACCATTTTGGAGACACATGCTAAACCCGTTGCCCTCGTCTCTACTCTGTAACCCGCAGAGTGGAAGCATTGGTTGTCAGTGAGTGACACCCCGCCGAATCCACAGAGAGAATTCATTTACTGCACTGCATCAAATAACATGTGTTGTTCTTTACAATGCACCGAGAACACAACCACCGTGCTGGTAAATCGGAAGGCAACTTTTTTTTTGACACAACCCAACACACACATCAGCCGCCATTTTCTATCATTCAAGACAATGCCCCATGGCTGTATTGTGTGATGAATTAAAGATTAATTTACTCCCAAATGACAGAAAGTGCTTGTAGTTAAAGGAGCATGAGAACACCAAAGCTAGCCTGGACAGCGTCCAGCCATTGCCACATTTTGGGGAAACAAAAGAACGAAAGTGTTGCATTTTCCTGAAAAAGTTTTGCTTTCAGCTGTTTCGGTCATGACGGGGAAAAGGAAAGAGGGGCCTGAACTTCCATGAGCTGATGAAGCTCCAAAAATCAGATTTATTTTTGGGGAGATAGAAAGTAGGGTTAGTGTCCACACTGTTGGTTGGGACGGCGGATGCATCTTAGGGTGCTAACTGCACAAACTGTGCAAACATTGGCAACAGTGCTGACAGAGCGAACGGTGGATACCAGCGGAGGAACTCAAAGCGGGCGTTACGCTTTCTGCTGTTAGTCAAGATGAGCACACATAGAAAATAATGGTCTCAATTTTTTATTATTTTTAATGATGTATCTTTATTTTTATATGTATATTGAAGGTCTCTCCCAACCGAATTGAAACTATAAAACACCAGCATAAGAGAAATAATGAGTCTGGGATCATGACACCAGTGCAGATGAGGGAGGGGGCTTATTTGGCCTGTTCAGTCAACTTTTACCAGCGGCAATGTCGGCTCCACAGTGGGAACCACATGCCACAGTGCAGGAATAAGCTTCACATCCCAATTAATGCTTTAAACTCAACCCTTGCTGCTGGGGAATTACAACTCCCCATCCTTCTCTTTCCCCCTATCTCCCTGCCCCCCTCCGGGAGTTACACTTATTCCCTACAGATTGTATTTCATCCATGTGCAGCACTGCGTCAGTGCCGCTGAGAAAATGTCACGGGTTCTGACCGTTTTTCTATTATAACCAATTTATTAATTCATGTTTTGGGGGGATTTTTGTGCAAACTTCACAAGGTGGAATCAAAATATACATTTGCCTCGTCGTGGACATTAGGGGGAACATAGACAACACTCCTGTATGCAAATTAGAATATAAAGAGGGAGTGGGTTATGCAAATGTTTCATTGAGACCGCTTTTAAATTGTATCAAATCCAAACCAAAAAGAAGAAAAAGAATGTGTTCATGTAATATTCATACTAGGTGAAGTTTCTTTCTCCCGCATCAAAGGCAGATGGACTGACTGTGCAATCGATACTCCTCAGGGGGGCGTCTCCCCAAGGGCAGCTCCTGCACCTTCACTTTACCCCCCAAAGCTGCAAGACCAATTAGAGGGGAAGAAGCAGACCAAGGTGCAAGGGGGGAAAAAAACACCACACAAGTAAAGTGAGAAATTTAATAAAAATGTAAATTCCTCTCAAGAGTTTGAAGAAGCAATTTGAGGATCTGCAGAGCAACGTTTGGATAACTCGATGGTGTAATCGAGCTGATGGGCTGTGTTGATTGTTTATTGAATATGGAGGAAGCAGGACTTGCTTTTCGGTTCCTGAGCTATTAAACCTGGTGTGCTCGTCGTGGACGTGGCGTTGCACACCAACTGATGACAATACCGTAAATACGGACGGATCAGTCGAATCAGTGCAGCGGCGACTTGTAGAGAATGTAGCCATGCATTCAGTGAGCATAATCAAAGCCTGGTTACACCGTGGCTTTGGGAAGGCTTGTTATGGACGGTCGTCTTTCTCTCCACGCAAATTGTAATCCGTTTTAAACAGGAAGCACCATTATGATTCAAACGCCATCACTGGTTATTTGTGCCATCATAAATTAGTTAACTGTTAAATTATAAAAATAATTTAACAGTGCCAGGCCTGTGGATAAAAATCCACAGGCCTGGCACAAGCATTATGTAAATTTGAACAGAATAAAATGAGAAAAAAATTAATCTGAGTGGACTGGAGAGGGTGAAATAATAATAAACTTTCACACATGCTCACAAAGAATAAATCATAATCTGTCATCTCGTATGTCAGGCTGCCAAAATGCACTCTGTAGTTCACCCTTTATAAAGCAGTGAAAGCTATACGTTTCCTTGACCCCAGATTAGAAATCATAGAGTAAATGTCAAGTCAGGGCATGTTCCCATTTAACTGATACAAGCGGGAGATTTATGGTTTAGTTTAAGGATTTAAAAGATTAAATTAAAGATTAAAAGAGTTGTGAGAAATGTAAAAGAACAGAATGCAAACGGGACAATGAAA